TGGTATTGGTAGTGGTAGTGGTAGTGGTAGTGGTAGTGGTAGTGGTAGTGGTAGTGGTAGTGGTAGTAGTATTAGCAGTAGTAGTAGTAGTAGTAGCAGCAGTAGTAGTAGTAGTTGTTGTAGTTGTAGTTGTAGTAGTAGTAGTAGTAGTAGTAGTAGTAGTAGTAGTAGTAGTAGTGAGAAGAGTAAAACTAGTCGTAGTCGTAGTAGTGGAAGTAGCAGTTTCTGTGGCCGTAGTACGAGTAGTAGTGTGCAGTAGTGGAAGTGGTAATAATGGTAGTAGCAGATCTGAGAATAAGCAACAGTACGCAACAACAGCAGTAGCAATTAGTAGCGGTTTTGCTTTAACTTTATTGCTCGCTATTGCTGTAATGTTTGATAGCATGTGGCGTGGCCCGGCCGGAGCAAAACAACATACACACGTTTCAGCTGGAATATAAGCCCTTGTGTCATCAGATAAGCGGTTCACAAGTTATTCATGTTTCGGCAAACGGCACAACCACTCCACACCAAAAGTGCAGTTTTTGTCTGGATTTGCAACTTATGCAAGGTTGGATCTCGAATCATGTGCACCGGCGTTTTATCTGAACAAATTTAATCACGAAGTTGTTGTACGTGTCGGGTTCATTTCGGATGACGCCTGTTTATTTTGCAGCTGGACATGCAAGATACACATGATAAACTTTGTACTTGCATGCTGGAACCTGTCGCATCATGCGTCAAGCAATCCCTAGAGTCTATGGGTGCCATTCCAGTTGCAGAGAATCGTGCCTGCAGCTGGATGCTGCAGTGTATGTGTTCCATGAAGAGCCTTGGGGCTCAGGGAACCCTTCTCTGCTCATGCGGCTACGCAGAATGGTTGCCGGGTGGGCTAGCTGAAGCTCGGGCCCGGTTCGGCAATGCTTGCGTAGCCGGTCGGCTGGGTGTGGTGCAGAAGGAGGGCAGTGCGCCTAGACTCGTCGGGGACAGCACAGTTTCTAATGCCAATCGGTTGTGCAGAATTGCCGAGAAGATTGAGCTGCCCTGCAAGATGTGCCCAGTTTCTTGTCGCGTCATGACGGGGAGGGGATAGCGTTCATCCTGGACGTGGCCAAAGCTCATAATCGGGTCAAAGTGGCGGCTGCGGAGACAGGGTACTCGCTGTTTGCAATGACTGACGCAGACGGAGCTACACACTGGTTGTGCTACCGCGCGCATGCCATTTTGGTTGTTCATGGGCGGCCTATTGGTGGGCCAGGACAGCAGGTGCATTCGTGAGGATCGCACATCGGTTAATTCACCGACGGCACTTTCTGGCTATTTATGTGGACGACATTCTGGCCTTGTTTCGCAGAAGTGAAGCCTCAACGGGTGCAGTCTTGGTCGTTTTCTTAGCCACTGCTCTAGGCGTACCAATAAGCTGGAAAAAGTTGGTGCTTGGCAGCTGTGTGAAATGGCTGGGTTGGATGGTGCGTCTAGGCGAAGCCCCGACGGCGCATCTACCAGAAGACAAGCGTATCCGCCTCCTAGGTGCGCTGCAACTGTTGCGCGTGGCTGGAGCCATGGTTTCACGGAAACATCTGGAGCAGCTGGTTGGTCTCTTGTCCTGGTTCGTTTCTGGCGTGCGTTGGCTGCGGCCTTGGTTACGTCAATTGTTTCATCTGTTGCATAAGCCGTCAGTGGTGCTGCGAGCCTTGGACAGTGCGCAACTCACTGAGATCTCCCAAGTCGTAAGCTTGGAGGGTGAGATCCACACTTGCCCGTTCCTGTCTGACGTCATGCAAGGTTGGCGCATTTTGGAAGTCGGACATGTTCCTTCCCAGGGCCCGCGAGACTTGCTAAAAGCACAGGTGAAGCAGGGTCGCGCCTGGGTCAAATTTGGCGATGGTTGCTCCAAGGAGGTAAGAGTCTCCAAGGAGGAAGCACAGGTCGCTGATTTCTATCACAGCCTGGTTTCAAAAAATGTGGAAGTGCAGCTGGTGCACAAGAAGGGTCCGCATGTCCTGGCGGCAGCTGACGCATACGCGCTGGGGGCTGGTGGATGCTACCGGGAGATGGGATTTGCCCAACGTCTATCTTTTGGGTGTCCATTGCTATTCAGGCGGCAGAGTTGCCGGACTGGTTTGTGCAGGAACATGGTCGTAGTGATCTGCAGAAATACATTTGCGCGCTTGAAGCTTTGGCCCAGCTTGTGCTCAGCAAGTCACTGATTGCGGACAGTCGGGTCGGCCCGACCTTCTCGTGTGTAGGACAGGTGGTGTTGCGACAAAGCTGCGACAATTCGGGGGTCTGCGGCGCAGTCAGCAAGGCTTCGTCTATGCGGCGACCGTTGGCCGACGTTCTGCAGGCTATGGCAATGCTGTGCATGCAGCGCCAAGTTGTTTTGCAGGCATCACATGTTGCAGGTCAGCGGAATACATGGGCGGATCTGTTGAGCAGAGGGCGGGCAGCAAACGGTTCGCCGGAGTTCTGGGCGTCACTAGACTCCCGCCGAAGCCGGACGGCGGACTGGCATCGCCTTTTGGATGCTGGTCAATTGAGTCCATTGCGTTAGCTAGTGTATGTAGCGCTTTGCTGCTTTCAGGTTGCTGGCCGCGCGATGTCTGGAGGTTTTTGGAACCAATGGGGATATTGCGGCCTGGCACTTTTGGCAGCGGCTTTGCTTTGGATGCCATCAGATAAATGGAACGGTTGCATTTATCACTGGCTGCCAAAAAGTGCTCTTCGTGTGATCCATATAGATGGGATGGCTGCTAGACGATAGGGATGGAACCTGTCGCATCATGCGTCAAGCAATCCCTAGAGTCTATGGGTGCCATTCCAGTTGCAGAAAATCGTGCCTGCAGCTGGATGCTGCAGTGTATGTGTTTCCCCGCCCGCCCCAGAGTGGACGCGGAGGTGCGGCTCTTCTGGCCGCCCATGCGCGGATGCCATCAGATAAATGGAACGGTTGCATTTATCACTGGCTGCCAAAAAGTGCTCTTCGTGTGAACCATATAGATGGGATGGCTGCTAGACGATAGAGATGTTGACAGAGCGTTGTGATCGTTGCTTCGCAACAGTCTTGTTGCTCAAGATGAAAAGGTTTGGTCAGGGACTCTACATTTTTTGGTGGAATAGTTGAAGGCTTCACTTCGAAGGAACCGGTTCATGAGCATTGTATTGTTGTGGATTTTGCAGTTTTTTGGATGTTTTGCGAGTTTTGAGCTATTGTGATTGCACACACAAGGTGGCGATGATATGTTCATTGCTGCAAATATTGGTACGGCTGCGAAATACGAATCTTTGTATCGATCAAACAGAGCTGACATGGACCAAACAGTACTTAGAAATTGCGAGATTGGAAATCGTTTTGTATCAAATTCAAATCCATGGTAGCGGTTTAGCAGTCGAGAAAATCACGGTTTCGTTTTTTCACGTGCAGATTTTTGGTAAGATGCTCCGCGAGCCTCGTGTGTTCATTTCAAGTCGCGCTATGCGCAGCATTTTGGAGCTGTTGGTATGTAGGTGCTCAGTCCTCGGCCAGACAACTCGCGCCCCTCGACGAGCATGGCTTGGTGTTGGTTATGGACGCTCTGCTTGGTGCAATCGGTGGTTCCAGCTTTGGCAATGGACATTGTCGGAGAAGTAAACCGCTTCTTAGCCCTGTTGTTGCTTGGTGTCGCCTTTTATCTCGCCTTCCTGTACAGGGACCGTGTGGTCACATTGATGACAGGGGACGATCGTGTGCACTGCGATCTGAACTCCAGTGTTTGGCAGGTTCTCACGTGCTGCCGTTTTTGCGAGGGTGAGTGGACTCGAGTATTGACATCTTCGTGCTGCTGGCCCTTCCGCAGTTCCAAAGGCAAGAATCTTTTGCATCTATTGGGCCAGCGCCTGGGGCTAGTCCAGATTCCGATAGAAGTTGAGAATATCATTGTCGGAGACCTTCCAGCAGTTCGGTCTGGCGATTTCTATTTGACAGTCGAAACAAGCAGCAACCCTCCACAAATCACAGCAGTGGTCGAGAACTGCGATCCGAAAGTGGTCAATTTTCCAGATTCGCTCATTATCAAGGTGCGGAGGTCAACTCTAGACAGCAACGTACGGTTTGTTGTGAAGAAGATGCATGCAGTGGGCAGTGTGGAGATCTGCGAGTGCTACATCAGTCCCAAGATGCTGCTGTATTGGATGGAGCATGAACAAGGACCAGTTCGCATCCGCATGGAGCCTTGCAGAAGAGACTACAACTTCACTCTTCCGGCTTGGATCCTGATAGAGTTGCGGGAGCATCTTGCACCCAGTCGAGGTGTCAGCCAATTTGATCTCACAGTACGTGATGCCAAGACTGGCGATAGCATTGATTACGATGATGCCAACAACTTCAAAAAGACATACGAGTTGCTCCATGTCACTGGCTTTCGATCTCAAGAGCCAGACGAGAATATGGTTGGAAACATTGACGCGGCCTATCGTCGCAAGGCTATGTGCTTGGGCCAACTCTTCATGATGCTGCTGTTGGGCTCCGGGACCTATATGGTTTCGAGATTGTACTGCATGGCTTGCTTTCAGAAGTATTCCGAGATCACGGTTTTGAACAACTTCGGCGTCTTGTTCCCCGTGTTCGATCATGACAAGACCTTTTACAGGGAACGATGCAATCTCAACTCCAACTTGTTTGTGGGCATGTTCGAGGATGACGTGCTTTCTGGGCAGGCTCTATCAAACGAGAAGGTGGATCCCAACTGCACCGTGACTCGCGAGCAAGTGATGTGCCTCGGCTGTTTGGTGCTCCATCGTGATATGTTCGCATGAAGCACGCATGGGTTATGCCAACTTATTTTTCTTATCCTAGAACTCGAGGCACACGTGTGACGACCTTCCCATTGGAGCACGCCATCCGAATCTTCGGATCAGCCTCGGTTGCTTGGCCACAGAGTGTTTTGAGAGTTCTTCGGGAGGAGGATGAGACGCAAAAACCACAGACCCAGCGTCAAGTCGTTCGCTAGTTTTCTTGCGTCCAAGGTTTCTTTGACGTGTACATTCCTTGCTGGCAGCAGACCTGTCCGATGGATGATGTTCTTCGGGGCTGGGGCAGCTGGCATGTGATGTTCGTTGTGATCATGTTCCTGCTCATCCTCTGCACATGGGGAGCGTGCAATTGGCACATCCTGAATTTGCAGGACCATGTTCTGACGGAGTCCCGTGGAATGGCATACACGCACGTGCAGCAGTCCCCCGGCCTGCTCTCGCCCTGAGCCGAGCTCTTGCGTGAGGTGCTCCAAGTTAACGACCGGGACCATCTGTTTCGTCAAGCGAGCGGTTGTGTCCATCATTCCGTACGGTGACTCTTCAGCTCGGCTAAGTTGAGCTTGAGTTCTGGATTAACAAACGCCGGCATTTAGCCGCTGTATTGTGCAGTGAGAGTCGAAAGGTGGACCGATGCATCCACTGTGTGTGTTCAGCCAACACTTCGTGCAGTTTTCATGACCCTCATGCAGAGTTTCCATGGAATTACAGCTCAAGAAGTGTCCTCGGAGAGGGGAGGCCGCGTGCTGGCCAGAGGCACGGCTTAATCCATTAACTACCTTTTCGATACCTTTGAGTACTGCTGGCGTTGAAGACGAGAGAGTCGCCCCGGAGCCAGCATGGTGCAACGATGTGGCATTTGTCGTGAGGCCCGCCGCCGGCATGCCTCCGAAGCAAGGAGTGAGCCACAGCTTGAGCGGGAAGATGTCTCGCGGTGCGGTGCTTTTATTGTACGGTTCCTTTATTCCAGCAGCCAAGCTGGTTTGAACTGTCCATGGAAGCTTGTAGCTTATCCTGAAGCCAGTGTCTGTGGATGTTTTTGCTGTGCGCACGCGCTCGAGCAGTTGTTTTTGAAGGCGGTTCAGCAGTTGTTGCGTGCAGGAAATGCTACGCGGGCAAAAGAGATGGAAGAATACGACAAGGCCAACGTCCCATTTCTGTTTTTTGCATCCTGGCCTTTTCTTTCGTCTTCTGGCCGTTTGGGCTTCCCACCGTGGTGGCTCCGTGGCCTGGAGGGAGAGAAAACGTGAGCAAGACCTTCGTCATCATGTTCACGATCAAACTCATTATCAGCCACACTTCACATTATCATGATCATCCACGCCAGCTTGATCATCCTTCGTCACTACTCGTACATGTCACTGTGCTTGTAATACTACTCAGGAGTCGATGCCTCACTGATGATGTATGAAAATCGTCACGTGATTCTTCGGCACGTTTAAAGTTCCTTACAAGCGTATGACTTCTTGTTGAAACAGGTGTAGTCCTACTCCACATAGTAGTGAGTTTGCATTGTGTTGGATCTCAGCAGGGTCTTCAGCAGCAGTCGTCGTCGTCGTCGTCTTGGTATTTTTGTGGTTGTTGTTGCTGCTGCTGTTCTTGGTAGTGAAGTTCTGAAGTAGTGGTGGTAAATGACATGCAGTTGAATTCACACTTACAGCGGTCAGCACCGATGCTTGCCCAGGAGCAGTTCATGCTCATGCAGCAGCGGCACAAGCTGCAGAAAGACACGCAGCTTGAGGCAAGGTTTGCCGGAAGTCATCCATGCACAGGCAGCTTGTTCCACATGTAGCTGCGCCCGTGCACCTCGTATACACGTGCAGGTCAGAAATACCAAGTACAACATGAGCCGGCGAGCGGCTCAGAATCTGCTTTTAGAAGGTGAGCAGAGCTGTCTTTTGTGCTGACATCAGGTTAGATGTGAATTACACAATAATTGAGAAGCGGGATTCATCCGAGGATTCAGGAAAGCTGGCTGAAGATCATGCGCTCAGCGAAGACCAAGCAGCTGAAGAAGCAGGAGTGCGGGAGCGGGGAGCGGGGAGCTGGGAGTGCAGTGGCATTTCAAGGTGGATCGTGACATGGAAGCAGGTTTGGAAAGCGTGCGCTTGCACAGCGTTCCTTTTGTGTACATGCCGAGTCCGATGCAGGTTGAGATCATCTCCCAGAATCACGAGCGCGACGTTGATCGCTGAAGCCTCAGCAGATCCAGCAACCCGAAACCGGCATGCGTTGGGAACCCATGGATGGAATTCACGACGTGTGTGTGTGTGTGTCAACAGTCAACAGCCTGAGAACAGGCAAGGCGAGGTGCTATCGGAAACTTGGACCGCCAGGCAAAGATGCCATTCTCCAGATGTTAGATCGAGACCTGGATGAGGCTGAGGACGGGCATTGGACAACTCTCGCTGAAATCAAGGAGTTAGGACCAAGCAAGAAAACAAGTGCAGAAACTCAACGGGGCTTCAAGAGGCTACTCGGCTTCTTTTCTTATTTGGGAACCTGCATTGAATGGTACGAACCTCACCGTTGAGGAGCAACACCAGGTGGCTGTGAGAAGCCATCTTCTCAATGTAGATCGCCTTTTGGAGATACAGCAGAGCAGGCTGGGAGCAAGTCCTCTTAAAGGTTAGCCTCGCTTTAGATTGACTCCGGGTCAGAGGGTGAAATGCCGGACGTGTCCACATTGCTAATCTCAGCTCCCGCACGCGGCTCATGGCTGCAAGGCTCCTTGCTTTGGACGAGGAGTTCCAGCGAGATGTTGCCACGCTCAGGGAGGACTCGTTGGTGCCGAACAGCCGCCCAAAGCTGTTTGCCATTGCAGCTTTGAGCGAAAAGCCTAGCTGCTAGCTTCCAGAGCCGAGTTTTGAGCGCACGCACGCAGCTGGCAGGAGTTCCGAATCGAGCGAGAGAACATCCAGGTTCGTGTTGTGAGCGACAAGTTATTCTTGCCGTGCTTGGAGCTGGGACGGGTCGGTGACGTTGGGTCTCGCATTACGCGCGTCATTTCCCTCGATTGGGTTTTGTTTGTGAACGCTTTCCAAGCAGATCACCTGGGTAAGGCAAGAGCCCTCTGCAACTATTCCGGGAGCAGTGCGCCAGCCGCATGCGCTGCCACTGTACATGCCAGGAACGACATGCACTGGAGAAGCGAGAACTCGCTCTGATAGTAGAACAAGTGGAGTGGCCTGGCAGCATCAACTCACGTGCTGATGCAGAGTCTAGACCAGGTTTCTCGAGCCAGTGACGAAGATTGGTGAAGTATGCAATAATACTCAGGCGTGAAGAGAAGAATCGCGAAATGGTGCGGGCCTTGTGCGTCTCCCCATCCTCCCTAGACTCAGACAGAACCTTGCCTGTTGTTCTATGTGAGCTGCATCCTACGAGATCCTTTTTGCCCACGAGTTCCATCACCAAGGCGGATATCACCGACCACCAATCCCAGTTTGAACTCATCCGCGCCTTGCCATCAATCAATTATCTATCTAGCCGCATTCTGCTTGTGTCACCAGCCAGCCCTGGACCTTGTCCTTCCTATCCCCCAGGCAACAAGAACATCGAGGAGGACCACCAGATGCGTTCTGGGCTGGAGGAGCAGATTGAGGAGACTCGTGCAAGGCCGGTTCGTCCGTAGCACGGTCGAGGGTTCAGGCGACCTGTAAGGAATTTGGAGTGATGGGCCGGTGGCCGGATGACTGGCTTGTAGTCACTCTGAGCTTGTGTACACTCCTCTCGTGTACCGCGTCTTAAGGGCCCATGTTGCATGTTGCATCGTATCTGCAAGAATCGAACTTGGGCTGTGGGTGCCAGAACAGCTACGAAGCTGCTTGCCCCTAGCCGCTCGAGAGAATCTCTCCGAATTGAGTGGAGGCTTTTGAGGTGCAGCTGACGGACGTAGTACAGCCCGTGACAACTTGTGGACGTCAGTAATATCTGAGCTAGGAATAGAGTCAGCTGCAAGGCAGCCGAAACTGATTGTGATACCCCGAACGTTTCGCAGCTAACGGAACTTTTTGTTTTGGGTTGCCGCACGACCACTTTTTCAAACGGGGCTGATCGTGCAGGTGCAAAGAGAGGCTGCAAGCCTACGAGAAGTCGACTGAAAGCAGCACGACGGAATACAAGGACATGTCGATCTCAGTAGACCTCCCGGGGCCACAAGAACAGGCAAGTTGTGCTGAGCTTCTTACAGTTATTTGACACTGCCAGGGAGGACCCTATCATGCTCCCATCATGCTCCGTACACGCAGTTCACGCATGCTGATGCTGCGGCATCTGGATTTCGTTGCAGAGTTCAATGTGGAGTTGCTGATGACTAGATGTGTTAACAGGAATCACAGTATCTTACCTTCACTCTGCAGCCGTCCTTGGCTATTGTTATGTGTGCCACATGGTCGCAAGATGTAGCTAAGCAGGCGGAGCCCAGAAGGCACGGAAAGAATCTGCCGGCCTGGAAAGCAAACTTGCAAACTTGAATCGTAAGTGGACCAAGCAGCAGAGGCAGTGCCCCATGTGCCCAACTTAATGTTGTCAAGCCGCACAGCAACAGCAGCACGTGGTGTTTAGTTGCGGACATAGTCAATCATGCAGCCGCATGTCGGATCTGATTTATCAGGCTTGAGGAGTTTGAGGCGGGGAGGCCCAGGCCGCCCCTTCTGCGGAGCTCACACTGTCGGCAACAGAGCCGTTGGGCGACCCAGCCGTTCTTCGCGATCTGCCGTTGCTCCCTTTGCCTTCGGTCTGTCTTTGGGTTTGAGCAGCTTTGCTCTGGCACGGCTCAGCCGGCGCCTGCGACGCCGTCTTCAGCGCTGGAAGGGTCGAGTTGACCCTGCGGCGTCTGACGGGTCCCTCGGACACGCGCTGGTCCAAGCAGCGGCGCGGGGCCCGGAAGGTCTGGATGTGAAAGCACGTGCCGCTTACGACCTGATACGGGCGGCGGCAGAAGCTGGTGTCAAGGAGTTCTCTTCTAGCCGTCTCCTCAGCTGAGCCGGCCGGCATGTGATGTATGAAGCTTCCCCAAAGTAAAACCGCGTGTGTCGGTCAGGCGGAGACTTTGCAGCAGTCGGCCGAGCTGCGGCCAAAGCACGCGAAGAGCTGGTTGTGCGTGCCGCGGAAGAAATCCGATCTGGGAGTGCAGATGTGGATGTAGTGGCCGAGTTCCTGGTTGACTCTGCACTGACGAGGGCTGCGCGCTGTGCCCATGGAGGTGGAGGTATTTACTCGGAGCTTTGGCTCCTGGATGAGGGCAGGGCGACTGTCGAAAACATCCGGACGGCGAAGATGGCGGATGCTCTACAGCAGGCGGATGGCAGTGCTGTTGCACGTTTGCTAGCTTGCAAGGACATCTTGGTCGACGAGCGGCCACGGCAAGAGGGCCACGAAGCGCCGCTTTTTGCACAGGTACAACCCTATGTTTTCACCAGATCCACATTTCTGGCGCTTCTGGATGTGTTTGAAGTCTTCCATCAACGCCGTGGGCAGATTGGGGAGTACACCGTGGATGAGCGAGGGAAGATCGAAAAACTTCTGGATGTGGTGGACCGCACACCCGTCATGCGCAGAGCTCGTGCAGAGGCCGCAAAGCTTGAAGATCTCACAGACGAATCTTGGCGCCGTCACATGTGGAACATTTGGTTCCAGCGACACCCCACAAGCCCAAAGTGCGGCTTCGAGCATGTCTTTGTTGGTGAGGCCACAGAAGACTTGCAGGGACGTGGGGTGGTCGGAGGACTGCACAACTGGGTGAAGTTCTACCTGGAGGAGCAGCGAGGTGCCGCACGCTACTTGGGCGCCCGGTACAAGGGCCGGACAACCGTCTCCGAGGGAGCTCTGAACCCGTACTTCGTCAGCGGCCGCTTCACTTGGGATCTTGACGGGAAGCATTTGATTAAGGACGTCGGCGGATTCTTCGTTGGTGTGTCACCTGAGTGGCAGCTAGCGATCGCCACGACGGCTTTTTTCGAGACGCTGACACCCGAGCGCGCTGTGAGACGCCAGTGGAGTCGTGACTTCATGTCAAGGGATGTTGGGTACATGCGGGCAGCGAGACTTGGTGACCATGTGTGCATTGGATGCAGTGGATGCATCCTTTTCATATTGCTGCATGCAATTGATACATGTTGTCGTTATTGAACTGTCATTCTTGTGTCGGGTGTTGCTGTTGGATGTCGAGTTTTTGGGTTGAGAGGTACCGGATATGCATCCGACGGAACGAGCATGGGAATTTGACCACGTTCTTTGCGGCGCAGCTGGGGACCTGGGATGCGCGGGCGCGCGCCGAGCTCGACGAGCCTCTCACTCCAGAGGTCCTCAAACAGCGATTGCAGCCGCTGTTGGTCCTGCATGGTTTCGCCGACGAGGAGGACCTGTTGCGGCTTGCAACTCGCGTTGCTTCAGCCGGTGCGTGCAACTTGCGAGATGCACTGAGACACTTGCATTCAGAGTTGACCTTTAGCTTCTCCGATGCTGCGCAAGCGGAGACGCAGATTGCCGGTGCCTCGTCTACAGCACTCAAACGGGCTGCTTCTGTGCATGTAGCTTGCATGAGTCGTCACCCCTTCCACATAACGAAAGCCAAAGCCTCCGATAATCCACCCCGAGCCTGGGCTTCTTCGTGCCTCGCTGCCTTGTCCCTTCTTCAGCCCAGCCGAGGTGACCTTCCGCGTGTTGTCTCAGAGGTGATCACCGCCTTCGACCAAGGCCGCCTCCGAAGCGACGCCTGGGAGGTCCCGGGCTGAGGGGCCATCGGGGCAAAACCTAGTGGGGGGGTTCAAGATGTTCAAGGAGCAGCAGCTACTTGTGCGACAGGGCACGAAGGTGCTCCAACGCGTTTTCGGCTTAATTAGAGAAAATCGAGGGATGGGTGTAGGCGCGGCGTGGGTGGGCTTCTGTGCGGTGCATGGCTTCTGCTGTTTTATAGGAGCTGACGGCCGATCTCTCCCACGCGACGGGTCTCAAGGCTGCCGGGACGACATGCAACTTCATGATAGAACACCGTCCGCCTTTGCACAGTCTGCGCCACTGCTCTGCCCACTCACATGCCCTTTGCAACCCTGAGGGCAAGAAGCTTCTTCAGGCCCTGCGCTGCGCCCTGACTGGGCGTTTGAAAGGACTTGGATCGCCCAAATAAGATGTCAGACCCTTCCTGCCGCGAAGAAGTTGGGCAGGACACAGTCTTCCTGAGCTGATCCAGCTGCTGGAGCTGAGACTCGGCACAGGTGGAGCAAGCACAGCAAGCGCAGTGTCTGTGTCTTTGAGCGTCTTTTAAGCTTTCTGGGCTTGGTGGGGCCCCACGGGTTCGTCATAAGCGAACGCAGTCCGGGGACCAAGGATGGAGCGCCTCGGTGCCCCTTGGAGTTCCGTGGCGGTTGTTGGTTGCTACGCGCGCTGTCGCGCGCTGGATGCCTCAAGATCCCAATAGAGTCTTAAACCTTTTCACTTTTCAGCACGTGTTCCTGCACACATATCCCGCGGGTGAAGCAGAGAAGGCAGTTGATGGCAGTTGCAGGGTCTCGAGCATTAGAAGTTGCAAGGATGGCGCATATCATCGCATATCTACAGTTGCCAGTTTCGGGAGCCCTTCCGATCGATGCAAGGTTCCGATGTGCTGCCTCTGGACAGACGTGTTGCAGAACTCCGGACGTGGCGCGAAATGGCCAGCGCTGCCTGCACGACAAAGCTCGAAGTGGCCGCGTAAAAGTGCTTGCCTTGTGGTGGAAGACGATGCTGGTGATTCGATGCCTCATTATGACCAAGTCAGTGCATGTTGCTCACCTGCAGGAGTACCTCCGTCGTGATGCATCTCTCAGTGACCAGGTGCTTCGAGTTATCAAATGGAATCATGGATCGAGCCAGAGAGAGCCTGCCATAGTGTTCGGCTGCGCAGGTTGAGCGGAGGCTGCGGCAGGTGGAGCGCATGCAGGACGGTTGTGGGCCAGCACAAGCGCTTGGTCACGCTTTGCGTATTCTGATAGCAAGCCGTTTACCGTTTGAAGTCGGCTTCAGTCTCGACTCTCGACGTGTCCCGACTGCGAGGCCGCCATCCAGCACTGGAAGCAGAAGATCGCGCAGAACAGGCAGGAGTGCGAGGCGCAGCTCCCGTAACAACAGTGCAAGATAGTCCAAGCATCCCAGAGTGTTCTGAGGAGCGGAATCAGCAGCTCCGCACGGAGAAGGACCACATCGCGAAACACTTCCAGGCGCGTGGCGTGACTTCAGGGTGGCACCTGAAGCATCAGATGCTGAAGCTGTCCTTTCCTTTCAAGAGCATGCAGGAGCTCAAGGCGAAGATGAATCACTTCCGCACGGAGGGTCTCGTGGCTGTTGTTGGGGCATCTTCGCGATTCTCGTTCAGAAACCTTGGGATCGTGAGAAGAGGAGTTCTGGAAGGTTGCACCTGCAGGTCCGTCAAGTGAACGTCTTAATCTTAATCCCGCAAGAGTTTTTTGCAGCTGAAGGGTCGCATGTCTTTGAGGTTTGAAATGGGCACCGGGTTTTTTCTTGATACTTGTAGCTGGTGCTTTGCGACCGGCTTTAGTCCAAGAAACATTGCCTTGGAGTTGTGAATGAGCAGATGTGCTTTGCCAGACGTTGTCGCCTGAGGCAAAAAGCGCCTCGCAGACCTGACAATGAATGCCAGGACAGCTCCCATGGGCTTTCAACAAATTGCAGCATTCGGGGCTGAGCAATGGATTCTCAGCACAACGAGCGCCCTCGATCCAGCATCACAAGCTTTGGCCTAACCCAGCAGACGAAGAAAAGAGAAGCACAGAAACCAGGAAGACCTGTTTGTGATCCGGGGCGCTCGATCGAACAACTGCCGAAGGAACTGCATCAAGTCCTTGAAAGACCAGCTGGGTCTTGCCGAGAGGATCTTGAAGACTGCAGAGCTTTGCAGGAGCTTCTTTCTTGATGTTGTTGGACACGTCATAACACGTCGGTTTGTGGGAGAGTTCTGCACTGTAGTCTGAAGGAAGTTCGAGACGGAGCGGGAGAAGGCCGCCCGTGTTTGCTGGGAGCAAGCACTTTTGGCCAAGAAGTTGTCTCTTCACATCCGGAGCGGCGGAGGGACTGTTGCATCTTTCGGCTTCGCCTTGCCCACAAACATCCCCTGAGGTGCTCCCGTTCTATCTGTCACGTGACATCCTCCAAGAGTTTGAGGAAGGTGAGCTCGAGTTCGGAGATGAGGACTTTCGCTTTCCCGCTTTGGCCCGGCCTGGCTTCTTTGCGGTGCCTCGGAGCTCTTCGAAACTCCTTAGGGCACGCACACTTCAGTGCTCGAACATGTGTGCAGGACCTCAAAGAGGAAATCCGAAAGGAGCTCACAGACGTTGGCATCGATGAGTGGACCTACTTGGACAATTTCTTTAAGCGGTACAACAAGGCCATTCGTCGTGTGCCGAATCAAGTTCAGTTCTTCCTCAACCCACTGTGTCTGTAAATGTGTGCTCTGTGGCAGGTGAAACTAGACTTCCATGCAGTTGAACAGGACGGCTCGCCGCAGCATCAGTGCAGTGGTCACCACAGTCTTTTCATTGCATATCCTCTGCCGACAGCTTGCCGCGTCGTGGCCACAAGTCGTGGCCAAAAGAGTCAGGAGGCAACACGATGTCATTGAGAATCGACCATTTGTCAAGTCGCACGCATGAGTGTCGAGATGCATGTTGGAGCACAGCAAACATGATCATCGAGAGGTGACTTTTTGTGTATCGAGAAGTGCGTGTAGTTAATGTAGAAAGGCCCTAGCCCGTGGATGTGGGAGTTCCCCTGTCCGCAGGAGGGAAAGCGCCTCACAAAGGAGAATGTACAGCTGCTGGGATTTGATGCTCGATTCTTCTTGCAACCGCAGCGTCGTCATGTTACCACTCTTTGGGACGAGTGTTGTGCGTTTCCTGAAAAGTGAAAGGTGAGGCTGCTTTGCACTTAGGTTGCGTTCCATCCTGAAACAGTTCCTCGACGGAGTAAGTGTCAATGAGGCCGGGTGCAGACTTTACCGGGTCTATGCAGATGTGCAACATGCTTGTCAAGAACAGCTTGTCCAAGATCGGGCGTTCGTGTGTGCTCATAGTGCCTCCCTCGTCTACCGCAGGATGTGCTGTCGGCACCAAATCCTCTGCTGGTGGTGAACGGCAAGGTGGTCTTTGCAGCTTCCAAACCCGAAGCCCTCAATTCTGGTACTGGCTGGTCGTGCTTGGTGCTTGAACGTGTCGCATCTTGGGCAGTCATCGTAATCGCGACAGTGATGCCAGGTGAATCTGAACCACGTGCCAGTCAAGCGTGCCGCAGACAAGACTGTCCTTGCCACAGCTCCAATCACCGTGCACGTTGTTTCATTTTAATCGTTGTACGTCTTTGCTTGATTCGAGTTTCAAGACATTTCTAGAACTTGTTGTGGGAGCGCGAGGCAAGTTTACCGTAATCGCTTCTTCAATGCCCGACTGGAGAGGAGGAAGGAAACTACTGTAGCCAGCGGCCAGCTCACACAGCCGTGCTTCCAAGGTGTATGTGGAGGCAGCGCACCATGCTGGCAACACCGTTGTCAGGCTTGTGGTTTCGTGTTGATAGTAGTGGAAGGGCTGAGAACTCCTCGCATCTTGCAGGCGCTGACGTCTTCACGGACGCTCCGAGCCTGGCCTGCAAAACTGCGGGCGAGTCCCGTCGGCTCTTGCACACTGCCTGGAAGCCATCTGCAGCATCGACAGTCTGCATATGATAATACCACGACAAAAGCGTTATATTAACAAGACATGCCGTCTCATGTCATACAGCCACTTCATGGATCAACCTTGCTGCCCTAGCAATGCATACTCTCACTTGGTGTTCCGAAACTTGTGCGAAAGCAATTAGACAAGGGCGTTCACTCATGTTCACTCAAGAATTCCGTTTCACTCCTCTGCTGTGATTGCGAAGAGCCGCATGCACACGCTGCAAAATGAACGCAACCGTCTGCGTCGGCGAATGGTTTGGGCTGCAACCGAGTACTTATGACTACACGTGGCTTCACTATGCTAGGTCAGCTGCGAGCTTGATTGAGATAAGCAAGTTTAGCCGTGGTTGACGCTTTGTTTTGTGTTGCTTCGCACGCTCCAGCACTTCCGTGCATTGGCTGTGCCTCAAGCGAGCTGCATGTCACTCTCCAAGCGCTTGCAAGCATTTCAAGCCATGTCACTTGACCGGACATTTATCCCTTGGCACTTTTCATGCTCTGATCCAGTCCCACAGCCATGGCCTGGGTCCTAACGCATCCATCTATCTCCGGAGTATCCGAGCTTGTAGCCTCGCGAGGCAGTCCTGAAGAAGGCGAAGCCCAAGACGAAGCGGAAGGCTAAGAAAGTGAAGTCCGAGGCGCGGGCCGCCCAGAACCACCGGGTGCAGTCCTGGATCGGTGACGCCAGGTCGTGGAAAAAGCGACAGAAGCGGCTTGCAGCTCAGATCGTGTGCGCGCCTGTACTGTCATCTCCACGATTTGGTTCATGTCTGGCACCAAGCTTTCAAAGCAGCCGATCCAAAAGGGGTCTGACTTTTTTCAGACAGCTTTCACAGCTTCCACTGTTTGCTCGACTCCACACAGCTTTAAGCCGGTAGAGCCATGCAAACAGTCAGCTCACCGTTCTTCGCGGCACAGAAACTCTGCGGAGTCTTCAACTTTTTGGTTTCTGCCCTGGCACAGTTTAGGGTTTAGGGTTTAGGGTTTTGGGCGGCTAGACCCGCCGAGTACCCAAGCCACGGCTTGCCACGCCATGGTCGACTCTGAGAACCACTTCGCCAAGCCTTGGCCCCTGCCCCTAACCGAGCGGGACGTGGCCTGATTGGGAAATTCATCTCACATACACTCTCATATTACATGATATCGTACGATACTATAGTATTACTACATTAATCTGTATTATGTTATGTTCGGTCATATGATACTATGTTATGTCATGTTGCATCATACTACTTATGCGATAGTAGGGAATGTTACACTATATTGTATCGTATTGTAGTAAAGTATATTCTGCTATGTGCGACGGTATTGTATTTTCTTTTGTGTTTTACAGGTATATATCAGATGACAGCATCTTAGGATAGTATTTTATACCCTCCCAGGCAGCTTGCCCCCCGCGTCTTGAGCCATTCCTTGTTCCTGAGGTAGCGACTCCCAGAGTCCCTACTAAGGCCCTAGTTTTTGGCATGTACGCTTCTTGCCGCCGCGGAGGGTCTGCTATTCCACGGCGGCGGGGTTGGGGAGGGGGTGGGTGGGGGGGGGTGGTAATTGCGTGCGGAAGTGCCAAATCCTCCGGTATTTACAGTGTTTTCTGCACCTGCGGACTGTT